TCTGAACTGCTGAAAATTTCCTCTACCAGTTCTCCAGAACCTGTAAGAACCTGCTGGATTTTACCTCTGCCAGAGACCACTTGTAGTCTGCAGTCAAAATACCATAGATGATCTTTAATGTCTAAAGCCAGTTTTCTGAAATGAGTGGCCATATAAATTAAAATAAAATCTGGACTCAAAAATACTTTTTATATGGCCAGAATCTCAATTGATTGCCTACACTTCACAGGATTTTAGAGTCCTGGTCCAAAGTCTTACAAGACTCAGATGGGAATCTCAATGTCCCATTTGATCTGATAATCTTGCAAGATTGGGATCATTAAATTCAATCATGGTTTTATTTATTTAAAAAATATTGTATCCAGCAAAAGGAAAAGTGCCCCATCTCAAAAGGACATATCTAGTTGTCTTCTGCTGCTTTATTGCCAACCTCTGGCTTGTGTGATGGTCCTTAAAAATTCTAGTGTACCAAGTTAAAAAAAAAGTAAATGAACTACCAAAAGCATAGGTTTGTTGTTCATGGCTCAAAAATATTGTACAAATCTATATTAGGAAGTGAAGTGGGAGGGAACTATGTAGGGGTGGGTTCTAAATTTTTTTACTACTGGTTATATGGGTGTGGCTTATTTTGTGGGTGTGGCTTGGAGGTCATGTGACTAGGTGGGCGTGGCTAGCTGGTCAGAGTCATTTCTGGAAGGTCCTCGCACTTACGACCAGTCCTCGCACTTACGACCCGACTCATTTGTTTGCTTTTAACACTGATCAGTTGTAGGACGGCCCTTTGAAGCCCCGCGGCAAGAGTTTAAACAGTTTTTTTTCCCTCTAGTCATCAGCTGGGACTCAGGAGGCAGCAATAGATTGGGGGTGGGACCAAATAAAAGGTAAGAATAATGTGGGAGGGTGGGGGGGAGAACCGGTTCGGTGACGTCATATCGTCACTGCTACTGGCTCGGCCGAACCGGACTGAACCGGGAGGAACCCACCCCTGGAACTATGTTTTAAAGCTGAGTACAAAAAGGATACATTAAGCACAGTGGGTAAAGAAGTATTAGGGAAGATTTAAAGCTGTATTCAAAATGTATATGTTATGAAAAACTATGTGAACCAAATTTCTAAAGCAGAATTCTCCAACCTTTCCAGCTTTGCGAACTGGGGGGAGGAGTGGGGATGGTTCTGTCGGAAGAAATGACCTTCTGGGTTCAGTTCCAAGTGGGGAAAAACATGGAGACTGCTTGGAAAGATGGTTTAATGGTGGACAGGATCACATGGTTTGAGTTCCTGAGCAGAAAAAGAGGCGAGATGCTGAGAGTTCCTGGGTTTTATGTCCTCTCTGAGCTTTAAACTTCCTGGGGCACAGGAAGAGTATCCTGATTGGTTGTCAGACACCCAGGGGGTGGGAATCTTAGCTAGCCTTGCTGGCTGATATAATCTTCCCAGGTGCCATGTGGGGAGTTTCTGTTGCTAGATGGGTCCTTTGTGTTGCAGATGGGATGCAGAGGCAGATGTGCAAGAAGCAGATGTGTCTGCTTCTTGCACAAATGGAGCTGCTTGCGCTTGCTCGTCTGCAGCTTCTGTGGCCCAGTTCCAAATGGGCCATGGTCCGGGGGATTGGGGACCCCTGTTCTAAAGACTTTATGTTCCTTTAGGGGAAAAAAATGACAGAACAATAATACATACTGCACTGATACAGACTTACATTCATTAGCACATATTATAGCAGTAATAGCAGTGATTTTATTCATTAATCATAACTAAATGCATAGACAGAGAATAAAATCACAATACAAATTATACTGATAATTTAAAGTTTTCTTTAAAAAAAATAACACTTTTGGTGCTATACAAACATTAAATATTCTCAAGTATATCATTTTCTAAAGCTTTAACATATTGTGTGATTTAAACAAAACTTTAATTGTATGTATATTTTAAAAATACGCATATTTAGTGATATATATATATTCTGTTACTTTCCTTTTTCATGCTGTTTTAAAATGATCGGGGATTTTTATTTATAGTGAAGGAATTATCAAAGATGCTGAATACTTTAAACAGCAGGTGGCACAATGGCCAACAGAAGGAGAGACCAGGGTTATGCTTCTAATGCAATCACTTCTTCTATCCTGGCTTAAAAAACATGGAACAGGACGGAAACAAAGGCAGAGTATTGAACAATTTATTAATTGTGTGTTTCAAACAGTGGTTTGAAAGAATTACGAAGGGAACTGAAATTTGATTTAAGCCCCTTTGGATAATGGGTAGAAAAGTTCCACAACTCTTTCAAACAAAACCACACTTCTTAGTTAGTTTACATGTGAATGGGTATGATTGTAACAACAATAGTACTCTTTCCTCTTTGGCCCTCAGCAATATGACTAAAAAGGTAAAGGTTCCCCTTGCACATATGTGCTAGTTGTTCCCGACTCTAGGGGGCGGTGCTCATCTTCGTTTCAAAGCTGAAGAGCCAGCACTGTCCGAAGACGTCTCCGTGGTCATGTGGCTGGCATGACTAAAAGCCAAAGGCGCACGGAACGCTGTTACCTTCCCACCAAAGGTGGTCCCCTTTTTTCTACTTGCATTTTTGCATGCTTTCGAACTGCTAAGCTGGCAGAAGCTGGGACAAGAAACAGGAGCTCACCCCGTTATGGGGCACTAGAGATTCAAACCACTGAACTGCCAACCTTTCAATCGACAAGCTCAGTGTCTTAGCCACTGAGCCACTGCGTCCCTGAGCAATATGACTAGTTTCCTGTAATTAGGGAGAGGATGAGGGTGAAGTCAGGGAAATGGTAATCACAGCTTTGTGTTACCTGGAAGTTCCAATCAAAATTCAGGCAATGTCTATTCAGTAACATTTGCACAATCTAACCTTCTCAGGAAAAACTTGCACTTTGCGCTTTGGCTGACTAAAAGGCTAATTGCCGCATTGAATCCTGGCTATAGAGGGTGGGTGATGCTACTAACTTTCCAACTTCTACAGCTAGGATCTTTAAAAAGCTGCCTTCCCAACTCAGGAACAACAATCAAATATTATAGCAAAAAGTTAAATTCCCAGCTTTGTGCTGAAGTTTTTGTACAATTTGAAAAGCACTTAAAAGATGAATCCTCCCTAACCCCATCTCTCTGCATTCAGTCAGGGTTGCACTGTTTATGCTTTCTTGTTAAGGTTAAATGAATAAATAAATCAAATTCTCCTCTGAAAACATTTTAAGCTAAATGTTAGGCAAATAGACAATGTAACAGTTGGGCAGACAACATGTTAAAAACTCATTTAGAAGACACAATGTTGATTCTTTTCACTTTCCTCTTTTCATAAATCCTTGCGTTATTTAAGGTAATTGGGCTCTCTGGGATAAGTGCTGCCAGCTGTTCTCAGAATAGAAACAATATTCGGGATTTTGACACTGAAGAGTAAAGTGGGAGAACGGTACACACATTGAAATACTAGCCAAAACACTGATTGCAATCAGCATAAAAAAGATCAGTCCGAGCACATATGTTGCGTATTTTGAAGTACAAGCTAACTTCTATATGTTCTATTGCAGTTGAAAAAATAAAGCATGTATTTCTTTTCACTTAATAACTGTTGAACAGTCATAAATAACCAAAACAGCAATAATAATCTGGGTTTTATTTTTATGTTGCATTTGATATGTGACTCACTTATAGAATCGGGGGAGTCATTTAAATGAGGGTGATGCAGTATTTCTGATTCAAAGAAAAAAAGATGCCCTAATATAAGTCATAGTAATAAGAAATAAAGCTCAGCAGCAAGCTATACAATTCTGATTGGAACATACATTATATGTATTGCTCTAAAATAATTCTTCCAACTTTAGTGATCACCAAAGCTGTGAATGTTGGCATATTCGCTTCTGAAGCATATCAAACATTAAGCTGCACTGCAGCCTAATCAAACTTTCCCTCTTGCAGTCAGTATTGAAAATAGTGAACAGGAATTCTGATTAATAATACTAGAAGGAAAAAACAAGTTAATAATATTTCAAGGGAATACTTTCAGATAAAGCAGATGTGTACAGACAACATTTAAGATACCAAACTCCAGTTCTTCAGAGAGTACAGCACAGCCATCTTTTGGGGGCTCCATCTGATCCCAGCTTTGAGAACTGACATCCATATCAGCATTGTAAGAACTAATCTCCACAATCAATGGAGCCTGATTGGGATGAAGCATAAGCAATGGTAACTTCTTCAGTTTCAGGGTTAAAAACTATGCAAAATGATAAGTGAAGAAGTAACAATAGTTCTAGCTAGATTATAACTTCTTTTTATGTTTATATATATTTCTAACGTTGGATGCAGCTCTTGGTTGAATCGGAGATTGCTAGTGTTGGCCCAGGATTGATGAGATACAGGCTCAAACCTCTACTCAGCTGGGAAATTTGGTGGACAATTCATATCTCTCGGCTTACCTTATTTACAGTATCCCAGTCTTTTCTGGAGAAAGCTTCAGCTTGTTTGTCTTCAGACACCTACTCAAGTTTTCTACCATCTGTATGAGAGTATTTGAAGGAAAAAGAGGGGGGGAAAGATTGTGTGCCCTAACCACGGATCATCAGCTCAAATTCCAGGCGATGTCCCAGAGGTTCATAAAGATTTCAGTGCTGGGTTCCTGAAACATCTCATATTTTATTGGCCATGAGGAAAACAGAAGTCTTCCATACAATGTGGACTTTAGTAAAGATGAGAGCCATGGTCATCCCACTGTAGAACTATTGAAAAAAAAAACATTACTCAAGAATATAAAAGTTAATAAACATCCAAGCAAATTAAATCCATTGCACTCCATTGTCTTATGCAAGTTATCTTCCAAGGCAGTTTCCATTCCCCACCCAGATTGGAATGAAGATTGGGTTTAAAGTTATCCAAATTTAAAACTAAACTGCTTTAAAACAATCTCTTTTAAAGAACTGAGCAAAGCAATAAAACAAGAAGAATTCTAATTGTTTGCCATTAACACTGTTTTTTTTTTTGGAAAGCAGAGAACTCATAATTATTTGCTACTGGATGTTCCTGACACTCGAGAACAGCTAGTCCATTATCGGAATGCAGCAGAAACAGCCAGCAGTGAGCTTGCCGCACTCCTAGTGAAGTACGAATGCGCTCAAGCAGAGGTATGTTTTCCCCTGCATGAAAATAACAGAATATGTTTACTGCGTGGTACGGACCATTAAATGCTTAAGTAAAGCTCTCTTCTTTGGTACAGTGCATATGCATTTTAGCTATTACATCCTGCCTATGTTTAGAGGTGGTTTTTTTTTTTTTTAACGCTTCCAAATTTTCAATCAGGCATTCTAGAATCATAGATTTGAGAGGATCCAAGTGGCTAACTAATCCATTTCCCTGCTTGGTGCAGGATCTTTTAAAACATTTTTGGGCAAGTGTCTGTCCAGCCTTTCTCTATTCATCCTCCCTCCAATGAAAGAGGTTGTACCACTTCATGAGGCAACCTATTCCACAATTTCTTAGTGTCATGAAGTTCTTAGTAACTAGCATGGATCTGCTTCCCTATAGTCTCAAATCATTGGTTATAGACCTATCCTCCACAATATTCCTCTTTTTATGTGACAACCTTTTAGATATTTGAAGACTTTCCTTCTCTCCCCTTGCCCTCTTCTGCAGGCTTAAAAAAAAGTCCAGTTCCACAGGAATGGGTTTTCAATTCCTTTACCATCTTGGTTGCTCCCTTCTAAACCTGCTCCAATTTGTCCATGAACCTTTTAGATGTTGCAGTTCCCAAAATTGGACACATTCCATGTGGAGTCTGATCAGCATAGACTAGCATAGGACAGCTACTTCTTGTTCCACTATCATAATAGTCCACTGATTTCCTCCTTCTCATAAGTGTTTGAATTTGACTTGAGTAACACTCAAAAATATCTTGCAAGTTCCTGGATCTGTGAAGTTTATAGTTCTTTGCTTCTTATATATATTTTATAAACTGCTTCAATAGTGAGATGGGCGGTATATATATTTAATAAATAAATGTCTATTATGAGCCTCTTCCAATGGCAGATTTGCAATGGGTCTTTCTTTGGTAGATTACCAGTACTCAAGGACAGAAAATGACAAAGTGCATCCTACTAATAAAGGCATATTGCTAAACAAAGGTTGCGTATTAAGATTGTTTTATTTACATGGTTTTACTAAATAATTTCTTTTTTTAGGAAACCAGGTACATTTTTTAAAACATACAGCTGTGATGGCTTGATTTAAAAAAATGATTCGGATGATCCCAAAATCTTGTAGGTAATACCAAATTAATATTATTTCTGTTTACATATGTGAGTGAATATTCTACTTAGAATATTTCTGAGATTTCTGGCTGGACAGAAACATATCCCTATCTGAAAAAAATATAGGAAAATTAAGTAGCAGCCATTAAAACAGTATTTTAAAGCATTCAGCATGAATGAATGAATTCAGCATTCTCAGTTATCGGCTTAAAACAAGTTTCCAGTCCTTCAAACAAAACCAGAAGCTTTACAGTATAATTGTGACATCTGAGCTGGCCTTATTTGCTCTGGTTTGGATTGTTAATACAGTTTCAGCAATGACTCTTCTTCCATTTGGTCCTTTTCTGATAGACAAGCCTTATAATGTTCTTGTGCCACAGCCCAACTTTATGCAAGTAATGTCTTCACAACTTCTCTTGGCCTTATACCTAGATACACAGAACTGTAGCCTAACAGAGGGACACATTAATGTGTCGATCATGTTGAGGAATGGAATCCTAGCCACCAAAAGAGTTCTGAAATTTCTTAAGAGACTTAGACTATTTCTGAAAAACAAGTGCTGCCAAGGGTTGGTTCATTGTCTAGGTTTTTTTGTTGTTTGCATGATTTCTGTCTGTGTGAATATATTGAACATTATACTAATTCCTAGATTTACTGCATGAGTCATTAATTGTGAATTATGCATGCAATTGTTCTTACCAGACTCTTTAATTCATTTAATTAATGTGAGAGTGAAAACAATTTTCTTTTTTATTTCATTCTGTTAATACTCCCAAAATTTCAAAGAGAAAATGCAACGTTTCAACATAAGGCAAATGTTTATTATTTATTTGCAAGCTTTTCAAACTTCCACCTTTGCCAATTCTGTTGATTTCTGTAAACAATATATTCATTTATTGCCCAGAATAATGTTTAATTGCTTATGTGGTGAAATACAAGGAGTTTGTTATATCTTTGTTTAAAGTTCCCCTTTTAAATCCACTTCTGAACTGGACTTTGTTTGATAATAATCATTTATATATTTAATTCATTTTAATTATACTTTCTGAAAACAATCCTTATCACTAATTCTTGGCCTGATCCAGACAGTCCAATAAGAGGTAATTCTCAACTTAGTACCATTAGTTCAACCATTTGAAGTTTCAAATGCTCTGAAAAAAATGATTTACGACCAGGGTTCTGGCATCAAGGCTTTTGAATCAAGTGATCACCTTCACCCATTTGGCCATCTGCATTCTGCGGCCCTTCCCACTGTAATTGACCTTTGTGGTCTACTTGCTCTCACTGCTGACCAAACATGCACAGCCTGACCTTTCACAAGTTGGTCAGTTGCCAGCTGCATGAGGCTTTCTTCTAAGGTCGCACACTATGGTTTCCTTGTGAAACCTGGAGAAGATTGCCTCATGTGGCGCCTGCCATTCTCCAAATAGCCCGTCCTGTTCTTGTGATGCTTTGGAAGACTTCAGAAGCTTTCCAAATGTTTTCTGAAGGTCCACGAGAATATGGTGCACTATTTGGAGGACAGCAGGTGTGATTTGGAGAATGGTGTGCAAGGCCTCAGGAAGAAGGCCTAGCATGGCCAGCACTGCATTACATAAAGCAGGCCGGGAGTGACTAGTCAGCAACAGGAGGAAGATGGCGAAGGTCAGCTGGGTGTGGCAGACTCTGTGGAGTGCAGGGCAATAGGGTAGCTGGGGTCTTGTACTGTGGTGGTGGAGTGGCTGGCCATGGTGTGAGGACGCTCCTCAGCAGTGGTGCTGGCTGCACTGTGATTAAAGCAGAGGTGAAGACAATTTGAGGTGAAGTTACGATGGCTTTCTTTCTCTTCCTGATTCTTATCCATCTTAATTATTCAATTAATTGATTTAAGTTTCTAATGATTAACAATAAAAAATAATATTAAAAGAATCACTACAAGAAAAAAATCCCTCCCCCCCTCCAATTATAATAAAATCTAACAACCATGAAACAAAAATGAAATCCTACGTGCTCCAATGCATTTTGGCATTCATAATATGCATTTCTTCGGACCCAGATTTTGTGGGAGCTTTGAGAATATGAGTCCTGAAAAAGACTTTTAAGATTTGAGTAGATTCACCAAGAAGACAGCTCATATAACTTACCTTTCCACTAAGATTTCTATCAGAATCTACCTAATATGAAGAGCAACCGTATTTTTCGGCGTATAAGACACACCAGACTATAAGATGCACCTACCTTTTTTGGGGAGGAAAACAAGAAAAAAAAATCTGCCTCTGCCTCCCAGCAATTTGCCTTTTTGCAGCAAACAGCAAACAGCCTGTTTCATTTTCAGCACAGCCTGATTAGCACAAGAAAAAAAAATCTGCCTTTGTCTGCCAGCAGTTTGCCTTCTTTCAGCAAATAGCAAACAGCCCATTTCAGCTTCAGCACAGCCTGATTAGCACAAGCAGCTGATTGTCGGTTGGATTGGCCTCCCAACCATCAGCTGTTTCAGGCTGCAGGGATTGCCATAGCCTATTGCTGTGTGTCCCATTTTCTGCTGGTTCTGGGCCACGGGGCTTGGAATGGGCAGAAAATGGGGCACACAGAGGCCGAAAACAGGGTGCACGGAGGCCAAAAATGGGGTGTATGGAGGCAACAATAGGCAATGGCAATCCGGGAGGCCAATCCAACTGACAATCAGCTGCTTGTGCTAATCAGGCAGTACTGAAGCTGAAACAGGCTGTTTGCTGTTTGCTGCAAGGAGGCAAATTGCTGGAAGGCAGAGGCCAAAGGGTGAGGGCAAGTGGGTGGGGCTATATTTGGTGTATAAGACGCACCCAAATTTTCACCCCCTTTTAGGGGGGAAAAAGTATGTCTTATACTCCAAAAAATATGTTACTTTTATAAGAAAATAGTTATTCAGATTGCTTGTTCTTCTACTATATATTGTCTATTCAGCCTGATAGTTGTGCTCTTTAATCACATATGAAATATTTAAAGTAAGTGGAAAATTCAATTGCTTGAGTAATAAACAGGATGCATGTATTGTAGTGCTATTAAATTTGTCTTTGCAAGCAGGATATAATCGAATAATATTTTTATCCCTGTTATATTTTATTACCTATTTTTATTTATAGATTCTAGATCTTAAATCCAGAATAGCCTCACAGGAAGTATCCATACAAGAATTCAAAGCTGAAGTTGGGGGCTATAAGGAGAACGATGCTCGTCAGTCTTCTCTTCTTTTTTCCATGCAACACAAATTCCAAGAACTTGAGAAGGAATCAGGCACAATTGCCATTTCCAAACATCAAGCAGAGCTAAAATCACAAGCTATTCTCCAGGAGAACTTGGAGCTAAAGGAGAAAATCTATGAACAAGAAGAGCAGATCAAGTAAGAACAGCAGAAAATGCTACCTTTTAATATAAAATAATTGCCATGGAGCAGAATAAACAGTACTTGTTATGATTGTTAAGTGAGGGTGCTGGGCTGAAATAGTTGAGTTTCTTTTTATTATAATAAATAAGGACTAAATTTGAATGTTTCTACTTTTTTTTAAAAAAAATTGGAAGTGTGTGTGTGTGTGTGTGTGTGTGTGTGTGTACAGGCTGGTAGGTAGCAGTAGTGGGATTCTACTGGTTCAGACCGGTTCGGGTGAACCGGTAACTCCAATGATCAGCTGGGAGCAAACCGGTTCACTTTGATGTTCAGATGGGCCCACCTGCTTGCCTGCACTATTTTCCTACCTTTATCTCCTCAGCTGATTCGCGCGGCAGAGACGATTGCTGCACGAATCAGCCGTGTTAACTCCTCTGAAGAAACCCAGAAGTGAAGATTTGTTTAAACTGTGCATGCATGTGCAGCAAAGCACGCAATCACCAAACCGGTTGTTAAGCCGGGAGGATCCCACCACTGGTAGGTAGGATGCTATTTGAACTTCCTTCTGAGAAAGTATTGTGTGCATTTTACATTTGTATTTTATATTTGTGACTCCTCAAGTCTTCAGAATCACACAAGAGAAATTTTAGCTAAATGAAACAAACTGAAACTTGAGTTTCAACCCAGGTCATAAAAAAAAACAACAACCCAAAAAACCACTTGGATTTTCTTTGTTTCTCTTGATGGCAGTGGGAGATATCTCCTTACCGAGGAAAGGAAGTATTTTATTGTGATATAAAAGTCTTTCTCAAGGCACCGTATGTTGTGTCATGAGCACCTGTTTAATATTAGTTACATTTCTGATGTAAGGTACAAGATTTAGGTTCGGAGACTTTTATTTAACTTCTTTGGATCATGAATACTCTCCTATTGTCCTGTTCTCAGGGCTTTTAAAATGGAAAATTTGGAAGTATTTACAATCATGAGAAACCTAGATGGAGGGGGAGAATAAAAAGGGATTTGGGGAGAGTAGGGAACTCCCATTTCCTCATTGCTGGGTTGAGGTCAGTATGTAACTGACTCCTCCTTGCAGTGGTTCGGTCTTTTCTCACACCTCATTAATTTGTGTGCTTGAGAATCCCACAGAGGACATTTTAATTTTTTGGAATGACACCTGCCTCTGAAGCAGACAGTAGGGTCTAACCACACTGGCTAAGGAGTTCTTGAAGTCAAAGTCCACACCAGAGGTGGGTTTCAGCAGGTTCTGACCAATTCTGGAGAATTGGTAGTGGAAATTTTGAGTAGTTGGGAGAACCGATAGTAAAATTCTGACTGGCCCCACCCCCATCTGTCTGCCAAGTCCCAGCTGATCAGGAGGAAATTGGGATTTTGCAGTATCCTTCCCCTGGAGTGGAGATTTTACAGTATTCTTCCCCTGCCACGTCCACCAAGCCATACCCACCAAGCCATGCCCTATCCACCAAACCATGCCCACAGAACCGGTAGTAAAATCTTTTGAAACCCACCACTGGACGGATGGATATGGGTATATGTTCTTAAACATGAGAAAAAGGGTAGAAGTAATGAATGATCAGTTTCAGGAAAAAGGTCACACCAGAAGACTTATCAAGGATATTGTTGTCCAGGAAGACTCAGAGAAGTACAAGAACTTTCTAATAAATCTAGGTGTATTTTGCCCCACCTCCCTCCCCAGAAAGTACAAAGGAAAAGAAGAGAGTCCAGGCTTTTCTTCTGAATCCAAAAGAATCATGGATCTCTTTCTTCTACAGCTAGCAAGTCCAAAACTCTGCCTCCTAAGAAATCTAAGGGTGACCAGAAGAATAGAAATCTGTAACAAGTTAGGGATTGTCCTCTTTATTATTTTCATGCTCAGGAAGTCTCATCAATTCTGATTTAAAATTGCATTGCAGTTTGGTGGCCATACAAGAGGAAAGAATCAACCTCTAATCAGTCTTACCTTTTCCCTGCCAATTTTTTTGTAACTTTGCTGTACAGTTACAGTCCTTATGTGTGCCAAGCAAGCCTGAGTTGGGGAATAAAAAAAGATCCATATGCTTAGCCGAGAGTTAAGGAGGTTCCCTGGGGCAGTGAGATATCCCTTTTCCTGGATCATTTGAGAAAAGTCTTGAAACCTAAATGGGCAATGCTTGCTCAGAACAAATGAATGTATAGGCCGACTAATATGACTTACTTCCTGTATAACAAAGTCATGGAGCTTTCAAGTTGTATGGGTAGGTGTTCTGGAGTTACTGTTGTGTTTCTTGCAGTCATCCCTGCAGAAAGAGGGGGAAGTCCAAAACAGTTTTATCCAGGATCTTTTAGACTTTAGGAATCTTCTGCTTTATGCAGAAAATTCAAGGCTTCAAGGAGAGCCTGTGTTGCATCAACTTCAAACTGGATTATGTACGTATGGGCAGAAAAATCTACACGTCTGCAGCCTAAACCAGTATGCTCACAAATATTTCTTATGCAAAATCCTTTATGGTTGATTCTTTGATATTATTTAATTTGGCAAAATGGCTACTAACACTCTGACCAGAAGTTGTATTTGGCTGAGGAACTGTGAGATTAGCAAGTTCTTCCTTTTCAATGAGTTTTTGAATATAGTGCACGTTGAGACAACAGATTGTTAAGGCTGTACTCCCACCCAGAATACAGAACACAAGTCCAGATTCTTTCAATCTTTCAATTCCTTGTAGGATCAAACCTCTGGAACAAGGTGAAGTTCAAGAATTATAGTCAAAGTCTCTGCTCCTCCCCTGCTTATATTTTGAAATGCACTAAGATATACAACTCTATATGATGCCAAAGCAGTCCATGGAGCAATAAGCAACTTTCTCCTAGACTTTGCACACATTTAGCTGCAAATAATTCAAAATCAGTGGGTAGAAGATACAAATTCAAAAGGAGAACAAATTCACTGGAATTTGTTCTCCAGCTCCCAGGCTTCTCCCATCAAGTTTCTGGAGTAAATCACAGATCTCTGCTACTTGATTTGGCAGATGTTTCACAAACATGGCTTATTTAGATAAGAATTATTACCTCAGACAAGAGCTGAGCCAAGCAAAATACTTGATTGTCTACCGTCAGTTTGCCAGTTCCTCTTGTATCTATGAAAGTTGAAACTCTTAAAGTTCTCCCCCCCATAAATTAATGGACTCTTGGGACAGTGCTTGGTGGCTTTGAAGCTGCCAGTTGTGTTTATAACTGATGTAAGAACTCCTGGCTCTTGGCTTGACACTCCATCATCTTGTCTTCCATTCCTTTCTTCCTGTCTCAAAACATGTCTGGAAATACTTGGTGTTTGTTCCTTCTCCAACTTCAACCAGCCAGAATGGAATGCTTTCCCCCTCCCCATCACCATGGCCTAATTGTGAAAACCTCACACTATTGCTTTCCCTGTTTTCCTCCTCAGTTATGTAAACGTTCTCCTCTTCCTGTCACCCTTGTGCCAGAACTTCTAGTAGCTGTAAAAACATTATGGTATGGACATTCCAGTTTCTTGGATTTGTGAAAATACTTAGAACGGAACTGCCAACAGATGTTAAGCCATACTGTAGCAGCACTGTTCTTGTGGTGAAGGACAAGCAGGTTGATGGCTACATGACTCTGAATACTTCGTCCATTATGACCCACCTCTCCAGAAAACTTTATCTCCCACCCCACTCAACCTGTTTTACTGTGAAACTCTGGAGGCAGGAAGATAGATCCCTGGTTTCACCAAGCATTTGTACTTAGTAACAAGGCTTGTATTGATGACCTTCCAAATCAACATATCCTTTTCCTTAGGAACAGGAGGGAGAATTGCAACCCATCAGCCAGCTGTACATTCTTCTTGCTTGAGGGAAAAGATACTTAATCTCTGCTACAATAGCAGGCCAGCTGGACTTTTGGTTTATTTAAACTACAGGATTTTGGGTGGTCTCTTGTCCGAATAGATATCACATCCAGTGTGTTTTCCTAGTCACTTCTGCTGCTCTGCCAAGCATTTACCAACCAAATAAACTGGTCTCTTGCAACTTTTCTTCTCCCCTGAGGGCCTTACAATACCATTTAATTTTTTCCCTAATCTTCCATCAGTCAAGATTCTAGACCAGGGGTGTCAAACTCACTTCATCACGGTGTTGTCACGTGACATATTGCGACTTCCGTCCCTTCACTAAACTAGGCATGGGCGTGGCCAGCTGTTGTGGTCCGTATACGGCTTCTGCGGCTGGTTGCTGATTCGGACAGCGAGGAGGTGTGTGGTGCTGCGCCAGCAGCCTGTGCAGCGGAGAGTCGGACAATGAGGCTGGAGAAGATGTGGTGCCAGAGGCAGGGATTCAGCCAGGGCCTTCAGAACCTCCAGAAGCTCCCTTAAGTGAAGAGGACGAAGAGGAGAGCCTTTTCTCGATGCATGGGCACACAGAGCTACCAAAAGGCAGGAGTGGCTCCTCAGGAGGAGGTCTCCTCGAGAGTAAGGCTTGGGGCTAATTGGCCACTTCCTTAGCCTATTTAAAGAGGAACGCTGACTGAAGTAATTTGCAGGGAACAACCATTCACTCTCCTTCGTGCCTTGTTCTCTGCAAATTGCTTCTGGGCTTTCTGCCAACCATAGTAAGATTAAGATTATTTATTCTTTGGATTCTTGCAGGCTGTTAAGAAAGTTAATTAACAGCCTTTGTTTGAAAAACTGATTTTATTTTAGTAAACTAAGGTTTGTACAGACTTTGTGTGTGCTATGTTCTTTGGGGTCCGTAGCTGGGGCAGAACACCAGTGGGTGATGCATCCAGCCCGTGTGCCGCAAGTTTGACAGCCCTGATCTAGACATATTGTTGCCATGCTTCTCATTTTGAAGATTGCTTATTTCATTCCATGCTGAAGCTACCTTCTAGATCAGAGAGGGCTTCCTTCTACATCAACCATGTTTACCTGCACTGAGGGATGTCCTTCATCTTCTTCTGAATATAGAAGCTTTACTTATTAAGACACTGAAGAACTGCTTTAACTGGACTGTCACGAAGAGCAGGTGTTGTGTCTATTTCTTCCGGATGCATTTAATCTTTTTTTTTTTTTGGTCTGTTGTGTTATTCTTTACTTTTAAAATGTAAGCTGCCCAGAATAGTCTGGGGTGAAGTGGCCTGAAAATGTAATAAATAAATAATTTTAAAAAATCAGGCAAAAAAGAATTCAAATATATTAGTGGCATCTAATTGGACTGGTATCCTTAGTTTCCAAAATACCTAGAATGAGGAGGTCAGGATTATTGCAGGATACACTCTGAGAGAATCGTCTGATTCACGAACCCAGACATCCTTTCCTGTGTAATAGACTACAGGAGTCCTCCACATCTCATGTGGCTGTGGGCCCACATGTCTCCCACCTCACATCCTAGTGTACCCTACTGTATCCCAAGAACGCTTTAAAAAAAAAGTCAGTAAATTTGCCACCAAATGCCATCACCACCATGAAAGATCCACTGCTGCCCTCTTAAAAGACATTCTCAAGTTCCTCCAAAACCTCCAGGCTCAACTAGCTGCCAGATCATGTATTCCTTTGTGGCCAGTGATGATTTTTAGATTATTAATGTGGCCCTTTATCTCCTACATGAGGTGCAGGCCTGGCCTAGAAGTCGAAGAGCCGTGTCAGCAGAGGTGGCCCAGCAAAGATTCTAAAAATGCTGCTTTTTTCTCAAAAAGTGTTAACTTCAACTAAAAGGAATCCTGGCCTTTTTTGCCCCATCAAGAATAAAGGTTCACCGTTATTATCTAAGCTTTTTACAGACATCAACCTCCTTAGGGGAGAACGAGATTTTTTTAAAGGTCTCAGCATCAGTAATGTAAATTGCCCGGCAGAAGCTTTGAATTCAATGTTGAAGTGTGCAGGGGAAAAGATGTATTTTTATCCATATTTAAAGCATATGCATAGATTCCTTAGCTGGAACCTCAGCTGGGCTCTTTTGACACTTGGAAGAAACTTTTTAAATCTATGACTACATGATCTCATAATCCGTTAACGATTAAAGACGGCTTTACAGCTTGCTGAAATTTCTCTTAGATAAGTTGCATAGTTGGAATCGCTTTCTGCTAATTTCCACTTGTGTATTTTTCATAATGATGAAGTGGTCCTTAGGCCAATTTTCTCCTTCATTCCAGGGTTGCTGCTTAGAATTTAATAAATTTCTCCACTTCAGTCTGTCTTCATCTGTCTGACCCTCAGGAGCGTGCCCAGTATAAGTGGGGTTTTGATAATAGACTTTGCTCTTATTTGGACAGGACATTTTCAATTGCAGAAATCTGAAGCAGCATTAATATCTTTGCTTGGTAAAGCTAGGGAATGAAATGGGGGGGAGGGGGAGGGAGTATTTTTCCATGGACAGAAAGAATGCATAATGAAAGCATAGAGGACACGAGGGAACAATTTCTTCTCTCTTAGAGGAACTTGCGGCACTTTATGTTCATTAACTTATTTTAATGACTGGTAGGCTTGATCATCAGCTTTCTTTTTGCTCTATAATACTGGTCAGTATAATTTTATTTTGGTTGCATTTGGGACAGGGGTGGGTTCTACTTACCTTTACTACTGGTTTGCAGCGGGACCATGCGCGCAGGCTCACTTTGCTCGCACATGCGCAGAAGCGTTTTGGTGATGTCGGGGTCGGTGGGCGGAGCCTCCTGCCGGTTTTACTACTGGTTCTATAGAACCGGTGCGAACCGGGGGCAACCCACCAATGATTTGGGAGAAGATTCTGCAGAACTTACTGAAATAGTATTGTAGAGTCTAGGCTCCTGCTCCAGGTACCTTACTGTTTTTCAATCCTCTTTATTGATAGTATGTATAACAATCCTGCCAATACAGTTAATTAGTTAATACTACATGAATGAAACTTATCCTGTTCTATGTTACATATAATTTATTATATGGATGCCAGAGGTGGAATTCAGCTGGTTCGGGCCTGTTCGGACAAACCGGTAGTGCTGACAATTAGTTGGCCCCGCCACCTGCCCCTGCTCTATCTTGTCCTTTATTACCTGCTTTGTAGTTCATCTCAGTCATGCAGTGCAGCTGATTTCCACCTCCCCGCTGTTTTAACTACCGTGACTTGGAAGGTAAGCAGCTGAGTTTCTAAATGCTCCATCTTCAGCATTGCGCGCAAGTGTGTATGCACTCGCAAAGCACACGCTCACCGAAATGGTTGTTAAACTTGCAGCATTCCACCACTGATGGATACCCATTGCATAAGATTTTATATCAACATTTTATTAAAGGATACATTTCTGTGTTTGTACAACATTGTTTGTACTCTTATTATAATTATGATTTTTCTTTAGAAAGGAAATTCATTACTGTGCATTGGTGTTCTCTGAGTCCCATGGAATATATTTCCTAACCTGAAAATTGTATTTTCCTGTAAACAGAGAGATCCATTTTGACTAGGATCCCTTTCAGGGAGAGGCCATTCTGATTCTCCAGACCAGAATACAAGAGCAAGATCAGCTTTGAACAGCACACAACTTTTTTAGAATAGGAAAAAAAAAGGAAGTACATTGTGTGTGTGTGTGTGTTTGAATTTGATCTCTACTCCTGATAATTGCCCAAACTAGTCCCTGCAGTTTTCTTGGAAACTCACAGTCTCTTTCTTGGTTTCTTCTCTGATACTTTAATCACTGCACCAAACTGGCTTTTATTCTACCATTTATTCTCTTATGTATTCACATTTGAGGATATGATTAATTAAAACTGCAGCAGTATATGGTAGATATATGCTTAGCTAAGCTAATGAAATTGTGTATTCTTGGTCTGACATAATGGTATCATGATACAGTTAATTTAAGCAATGATAACAGGTCATATTTTTCTTACCTATAAAATTATTTCTGCTTTGGTTTGAATCCTAATTAGAAAATATTTGAACAAATCTGAAGAAAGCAAATCCTATGCATCTAAGGTCAGCAGAGAACAAAATGAATTCATTGCACAACTCTGTCATCTCCTGGAAGTGGGCATAGGAGGAAACGAAGAGTCACCAGAGCGCCTGCTCTCCAAGGTTTTCTTTTAAAAATTATAAAATAATAAAATGTGCCTCTTCAAATTAAGCTACAGAAATAATAGCAAAGCACCCTAAAGACATCTATTATATGAGTGGAACCTTGTGAATTAAATATGATGTCAGATCTTTCTTCCAAGACTTTTTATTAAATCTATTTCCACTCTGGGTTTTATTGTAGGCCCTCACGTGGGCCCTTACTATAAAAATGCTATAAATGTTGTTATAATAAAATGCAATATTAACCTGAAAACACCATGGGGCCAGCAGAAAGATAATAAAAAGCTAGGAAAGATAAAAATGAAATCTTCAGGGGCTGGTTAAAGCTGCCAGAGAGGGGATGCTATTACGGAAGAGAGTTTTACAGTCCTGGCAGTGTTAACGTGCATTCTTGCAGCCCTTAGGTGAGCAGAATAATATATCTGCATAATTTGCACTCTCCTATCCTGACACCTGGGCTCTTATTTACCCTAGTAATAAAGCTTGTGAATGATCTTGTCTTTATACTTTACGAGTAGCAATCAATAGATTCCCTTGGCTTCATGCCCCCTTCCATCCGTGATCGCTTTCCTGTAAGTGTGGTGGATGGGGTTTAGGTAAAGCAAGTACCCCTTCCAGGGTGCACTGGGGATGAGACAAAGGTCCTACGGAAATAATTGATGGGGCATATTTGTGCTGCAGTTAATGTAAAGTGAGGCTAAGCCCTGGCAGGGCCTACCTCTGGTAATGAAGAAGTCCCATCTCGGGTATAATTCAGATAGATATGGCATAATTCAACCCAAACTTATTTTAGGCATGGACAGCTGCCTGCCACTATCCCCAAATAATAAACGTAGAGATTGTATATTGAGCTTTGATGTTATATTGCTTGTCTGTCTGCTGATTTTTTGGTAAGGCAGTATCTTAGAGATCATAAAACTGTATTCAGAAATGAAATTTCATGAACAGATAGTACAGTTTAGAAGTCTTTTTCTTTCAAGAGTTACACCAACCTAATCCTTCCTTCATGTTTAATTGTAGACATATTGTCAGAATAGCTCTCTCCTCTCCTCCCCTCTCCCCCCTCCCCTCCCCTCTCTCTTTCCCACTCTATTCCTCTGGCCAGCTGTCAATTGCCTGTTCTCTTAGCAACCTTTCTTTTTGGAAGTTATTTGTTAACCTTTATTCTGAATACAAATGAATAATACAGGTAGTCCTTGATTTACAGTCATTTAGTTAGTGACTGTTCAAAATTACAACAGCACTGAAAAAAGTTACTTATGGTGGTTTTTCACAATTGCAACCATTGCAGCAACCCTTTTTGTTACCTTTTTGTCACATGACAAAATTTGAGCGCTTGGCAACTGGCATTTATGACAATTGCAGGGTCATGTGATCATCTTTTGTGACCTTCTGACAAGCAAAGTCAAGGACGAAGCCAGATTCATTTAACATCTGTGTTGCTAACTTAAGAGCCACAGTGATTCACTTAACAAATGGGTCAAGAAATGTCACAAAAATGGGGCAAAATTCATTTAGCAACTCTCTTGCTTAGCAACAAAACTTTTGGGATTGATTGTAAATCGAGGACTACCTGTAAAATACATTTCCTGGTGGAGCTGACAGGCTATTAAAGCCATTCTTACAATCTGGGCAGGTGTGTAAATAAATGTCCAGGGAATAAAAACACATTCTCACCTGATTCAGGACTTTAAGTACTAGCACTTTCACTTTGAATTAGGCTTGTAAATAATGTAAAATTGGTATTACATGATCAATCTACATAATTCCCATATGCATTCTGAGTTATGTACCAGCCTACAGTTCTAATTTGTTTTCAGCTCTTCAGAGTAAATATTAATCTGATCTGGGTGTAACCAATTTATGTTAACTGCAGCCAGATTTTTTTTTAAAAAAAATAATGCACAAATTCACAAATTCAAGCAAGCAAGTAAAAGGCACTTGGGAGCTCAGATTTTCAATATGAGCAGAAGTATCATCAGATTTGTGCCAGATCTTGGTTGCAGAAAGCCAAATAACTATGTGATGGCAGCAGAAAAATATGGAGCACTGAGCTGTTTGTTCCTATTTATGTTGTGATTTGGAGTTTTGCAGCCAAGATCCGGCTTTACTTCATATTTGGGGGCAATCTCTTTTGAAATTCCATCCAGATCAGAATTTCTGTTGACCCACATAACTTTTTCTTAACTACTTAACTATTTGTACTTTTGGGGGAAATTGTTTGGAGTCTGCTAAACACTTTTTTACTTTTAACCGGATCTTGACAATACATCAGAGAGAGGAATTATTAAATCACAGAGAGCTATTGTTTTATTGTTACTTGACATCCAAAATCAGTATCTTCAGGATTGATGAAACCACAGACTAGGGACAGCAGGGGGCAGTCTAAAAGCAAGCTGCGTAGAGTTGCCCCAAATAGTGAGATGGACAGTATAGTATACGTTTAACAATAATAAAACAAAACAAATAAATAAAAAGGCAACCTTTCACCACTATTGCACACATTCCCCTTAACATACCCTGATTTCCCCAAAATAAGACATCCCCTGATAATAAGCCCAATCGGGCTTTTGAGTGCATGGCAATAAGGCTAAGCGCTTATTTCAGGGTTCAAAAAAATATAAGACAGGGTCTTATTTTCGGGGAAACACGGTATTTAATAATAGTTACTTTTCCACATGGACATTCAGTAAAGCTTTTAACACACCAGTAAGACTTTATAGTTTTTGAACAAATCTAAAATAACCAGGGGGAAAAAAACCCCACACAGCTCATACATTGTAATCATAGGAAATATTAAGTGGGCAGAAGGCATCATGTTAAGACACTCATTTTCAATGGATTACATTCAGTATAACATCTGTAAGAAAATCAATAAAAGCAACACCAGATAAAGCACAAATTAAAATATTATAATAAATTTAGCCAGGAATAGCATTATTATTATATAATAATTATTAACTAATAACCATTAGAAGTAGTGAGTCTGGAAAAAAAAATTCTAGCTAGCAGGCAGCTTTACTTTCAAAGATGTATTAAAGAAAAGAAGGATGTAATTATGGCAATAAGACAAGAAATGGAGACAATAACTGGGCCCATGCAAAATGCCGTAAAACTATAATGTGGTTTTGTGGCTTCCATGCTGTAAAAACCAGCCATTGTGGTTTGTAAATCAGAGATGGTAGCTTAACACAATGGGTGACCCTAGAAAATTGTGGTTGATGCAACAAATCAATATTTTGTGAGCCCTACCTTAACCCCCGAGGTATCCCAGGGCATGTTCAATGCCTCCTTTTGATCTAGACTGCAAGAAATGACAAAATGAAAGATTCAGACACTAGTTTTACTGCTCTACAAGGCAAAATCTAGACTACCTTTTGAGTCTGAGCTATAATTATGCAATTGTCTAGCCTAAAATGTATCGTAATGGATACATTTTATTCTACTCTTGAATCTACTCTCAAGAGGCTACTTAAAAAACTGTCTTCTTCGTATGAGGAGGAAGGAATGGAGTTTTGCTTCCTCTTGCATGTCCCAAAGGTGCTTTTTCAGGAGGCAACTAGACTTTCTTGTTTTTTTCTTTTGAAGACATTTTGCTTCTCATCCAAGAAGCTTCTTCAGTTCTGACTGGATGGTGGGGAATGGAAGGATTTATATTCCTTGCAGACAGCTGCTCATTTGCATCCTTTTAGAGAGTTGTTGAGGCACTTCTTGCATGAAGACCACTTGATTCCTGTGGTCTTCGTATAAGAGGGATGAAGCTTGTTGCTCTCACTTGCTGGTACACACTTCTCATACATCAGTTGCCAGAAGCGTTGTTGTTTAGCAGTGGGCGCAAGATATTGGTTTCTAATCTCTGAATTGTTATTTTAAACAATTTTCTTCAAGTTTTAATTATGAGTAGTAGAAAATTTTAACCAGATCTGCATTAGAACCACTTCGGTATCTCAGGCATTGTAATTTCCCCCCCCAGAAGCAGTTTCTTTTCCTTGGTAGAAACATATTAATGAATGGACTGTGGTATCTGTTGCATTATCAGGCAATCAAATCGTACATACTACGGTGTAGGGTTCCCAGGTGGTTTATTCTTCGTGTTCTTAGGGTGCACACAAAGTATTGTCTTCTCATCTTGCTTTGCTTTACTTTATTTTGGATCTGGTAATTATACGAGCAGCTGTTCAAGGAACATAGGCTTTTCACAATAAAGATTGAGGGTTAGTCACAGCTGTGCACTTGCATACATATGCACTGACAAATAGCCTGTGGTGGAGGGGGATCTGTGATTTCCGGCTTGTAAATCTTACTTCCCCCTCTGGAAGCCAGAGAAGAATGTTTCTTATCATTAAAACCAGTCGCATTGGTGAGAGTGATATCTTGCCTATAATGTAAGTTGCACAATTGGAACATGGAAAATGAAAAATGCAAAAATGGTCATAAAAACAGTCTAGATGAAATGGAATATTGGAGGAGAAATAATATCAGGGGTTGGAGACTGGACAATGGTGGTGTAAAAATTTATTTATTTATTTATTATTCATATTTCTATGCCGCCCACTCTCCGAGGACTCTGGGCGGCTTACACCAAAGACAGTATGCTACTGCCCCCAACAATCTGGGTCCTCATTTTACCCACCTCGGAAGGATGGAAGGCTGAGTCAACCTTGAGCCGGTGAGATTTGATCCGCTGATCTGCTGAACTAGCAGTCAGCTGAAGTAGCTGCAGTACTGCACTCTAACCACTGCACCACCTCGGCTAAATGAACTAAATCTACAATAGCAACACAAATGCTAGTGCAAATGATTCCCCAGTTCCTAATAGCAAGCGAAGAATCTATTTTATAAACTAATAGGAATTCTCCTGCATCTCCATATGAGGAAGTTTAGATTAAATTCTACTGCCAAGGTTAAACTACTTAAATATTGATTTAGTGACATTGAAAACAGCAACAATTAAATTACCTGTTTGAATACCATATCTCACTTTGATGCTTCCAGATCCGTGGAATGCGTAAAGAAAATGACTCGCTAAAAGAACAAATAGATACCTTCAGAGAGACCATAACAATTCATGAGATGGAACTGAAAGCCAACAGAGAAACCATCATGAGGCTCGTGTCAGAAGTGAACAAGGAGCAAAAAAAAGCAGCAGCTTGCTCTCAAGACATAGAAAAGCTAAGTGATGTATGTCTCTTAGTGCATGTTTATGACCTTAGAGCTTTCTTTATATATGAGGTGTTTCTTGATTGTTTGTGTATTCAGTCTGCATAACAATGGATGTGAATTCCCTGTAAAGTGTATCCCAAAATGTTTTCTGAGGCCTTGCCTAGTTAGGAGGACTAGAGCTTTGGGATCAAAACTATCTTTTTTTTTCTTTCATTTTCGTAAGTATTGAAATGTACAGAAACTTCTTATTCAAATTGGGACTACAGCATTGGTGATATGGACCAACTTTAACTCCATTTTTTTTCTTTTCTTTGCGTTATCCGCCAGATGGCTGCTTTTCAGTATTGGGGGACAATTACCTGCAGACAATTTTTAAGCCAAAGTTAGACAAATTGGTGCCCTCTTGACATTTTATATTTTAGCTGCCCTCCAATCCAACCAGTGTGTTCGATGACAAGGGATTGAAGAGCCGAAGTATAAAGTAACTGGGCATCTAATTTGGCACTCACATGAAAAGTTTTCCTCAAATTTTCTGAAATGTTTATCCTATGCTGTCAACTCATTCTGCAGTTGAATTTGTAAAATTACAAATTCAAACTGTTCAGTAAAAAGCAATGGAAGTTGGAGGCAACTTTTACATCAAAGTAATGTAAATAAAAAAAATCACATATAGTAGATTCATTCATATGTATGATATTCATATGCTGAAGATGCATCCTCATAATAAAATCTCCATCTTATGGTTGGCCTTCTGCTGAGGAAGGCTGCAATTGGACTAAGACTATTTTAGTATTAATTAATAATTTCCATCTTGTGCCAGCAGAACATATGGCAACCTGACATATAGATCCCATGGAGGAGTTTTCAGAGGATGGCAATTTGGTGTACTCCAGGTGGCTCACTGCATGATTTGCTCCTCCTATAGCACCACTGCCCTGAAACCTTTCCATATTATAGTGTGTGTAAGCAGCAACACCACCCAGCCCCATTGCCAGGAACTGTAAATGTAGGCTTTGAAGACGACACTCAAGGATGGGAGTCTGTGCCTCCATGGCCATTCTTGTTAAGATTGCCAGATGGACTAGGTATTTAATGGACACTACCTGACAATTCTAATTTTTGTTGTTTGCATATGGAAATATTGACCTTATGAAAAACCTAGCGAGGGTCTTCCAGGGGGTTGATATTTCCGTTATGACTCAAAACTGATGGCTGCACTAGTTTGCAAGGTAGTCTCTCATCCTTGTCCTGCACAGCAGCTGATATTTCCCTGAAGGACTTTCCCCTCCACCAAAGATTTATGGAGATTCTAAGCCATCCAGGTCATGGTTGTCCCATAGGTGCTTTTTCAAGAGGCAACAGGACTTTCTGGTTAAACCAGAAAGTCCAGTTGCCTCTTGAAAAAGCACTTTTGGGTTTCCCAAAGGTTGGAGTATCATACTATACCAGTTTTTAAAAAGTTCTGTCCATAGCAATGTTGAGGCATCAATAGCCCTGTGGTTAAAAACATTGCGTAATTCTTAGCATGTAAAACAGGATTGAAGTGTAGCAGTTTGTGATGCTGAATGTTGCTTTCTAAAGGTCTTTAGGAAAGGCTCCAAGCAGTGCCTCTAACAAAGTACCAAGGCTGGCCAAAGCAGAGGTTTGGGGACAGTGATTAGTGCTTCACTTTTTGGAATCAGATTATTCAATGCTGCTTGCTCGGTGTGGCCAGCTGCAGGCGGCCTTCTCACCACCACCAAATCCCTTCTGCCAACTTGGTGCTGTCATTTTTTCGCAGGACATGTCAACACCAGAAAGTTGCAGAGTTTGGCCTTCAGGGCAGAGTCAACTTACTGCTGCCGCCCTTTGACAGCCCGCTTGCTTGCTCACCTACTCGCTCGGCTCTTCTTCCGGCGCCCCACAGCGACTTTCTGGTGTCCTGAGAAGAAATGGCAGCACCAAGCTGGGAGAAGGAACTTGGCAGTAGTGAGAAGGCCGCCTCCAGCTGGCCATGCTGAGCTAACGATGTTGAGTTGTCATAGACCCTTCCGTTTTCTACCAGTCAGTGATAAGGGATGAGAGGGGGAAGTACAGCAGGGATTATACCAATCACTGCCCTGAAACATTTCCATGTTATAATGTGTATAGGCAGCACACCAATCAGCCCCATTACCAGGCATTGTAAATGTAGACTGAAGGCAACATTCAAGGATGGGAGGAAAATACTGGAGACACGAGGAAAGTAAGATTATAATAATAATAAAAAATAAGAACAGCCCATCTTAATTTGGTCAAAGTTCATCATAATCCAACATTTTGCTTCTTGCAATGTCTAACTCCAGGGTACTCATAAGCATAACATGGAGATGTAGCTCTTTCCTACTATTATTCCCCTGTTGACGTCCAGCCCATAAGTAATCCTGAGTCTTCAAAGGTTAATAACCCTTGATAGCAATGGTGGTTTTCAGCCAATTCTATCCGGTTCAGGCAAACTTGTAGCGGTGGCTGTGGGAGGCTCCGCCCACCCATCTGGATGTCATCATGTCCCATTTTTTATGCTCTGCGCATGTGCAGAAGGTCCCATGCATGTGGGGAGGTGGCACGTGTGAGCGAAGTTAACCGGTAGCGAAGGTAAGTGAATGCCACCCCTGCTTGATAGGCTTATCCTCCAAGTATTTAGAGCCACCCAAATTTAATAGTTAAAGGGGCATCACTTCCATTCCGCAATTTGTGTGCCTTCTCAATCAAAGGATTGTTAATGAAACTCAATTCAATTCAAACCTTTATTGTCAACCCACATGTGTACAATGAGATTGGCTGAGCCTCCCTTAGTGGACCCCCCCAACACAATACATATCAATAACTCACAGTGAATGAAAGAAAATCCCTAACCCAGTAAATCATACTAACAAATACACGCTCCTCTATATATATATGTTCATAACATTACATTATTATATATTGTACCAATATGAGCATGTTGCACGTTGCGCCAGCCCTGCAACCTTGATACTTTTATCTTTGGTCAAGACAGAACTTCTGCAGGAGCTGAACAATCCACGAATTTAGCTTCTGCCAAAGCCTTAAAATCTCATCTGAACTCAGTGGAATACAGAAACCTGTCAAGTATTGGAAATCAAACCGAAAGAAGTCAAAGATCACCTTTCTTTTTTTGAGAGACAATTATAAATGATCATTTATGAAATCCTCTTCCTGATAGTGGGATTTGGAATGATCCTATAGTGTAGATAGAGCAGAGGTGGAACGGGCTTTAATTTTGCTTTTCAGCACAAGTTCTGAAAAGTGATCAGGATAGTTGATATCCCTGTTTACAGGAACTGTCGAGCACTTAAGAATTCTTTTGAAGTGAGGGAGGTGGCCTTTTGGACTATAGGTTTTGTACATATACGCTGTCTGACAAGTGTGTCTGGGCGCCAGATGGATAAAACCACAATGGAAAATACGGCAATGACTTTACTACAAATGTGAACATTTTTGTTTTATTTTGTTTTTGCCATTAACCTTTTATGAGACATTGGAAACTTAAACAGATGTTAATATGCAATGTTTTGAACATTTGCGTTTCTCCTTGCACAACTGTCATTTGCTTGTGGATGAACTGGGCTTTCTGTTTTGTTATAAGGTAAAAATATATGTTTATTTGGACAGAAATGATATGACTTGGTAAACTGTATTAGATTAATCGGGCTGGGGTGATAACTGAGCCTGTTCTGTTGCATTAGGGAGTATTTATTTCCAGTGTTACCTATGAATATACAGTTATGATTTGTAGTATTGATTTTACATTTGTTGGGGTTTGATTTTTTTGGTTATTATTGATATATACCACCCAGATGCATAAATTAAGAGTTGGGAATTCTTATACATTATATAAACAGATAAACAATATTTTTTTCCCTAGAAGATTGCTTTAAAAAGACAATTTTACATTTTCATTATGTTTGAAAATGCAGACTGGTGTCACAACTACATCTTATAACAACAAAGCTAGCCTATGATAGAAGACTTTATTAGATTTATTAGAAGACTATCCTTTTCAAGCAAGTAACACACTTTGTACATAATTAACATTGTAGAAGTAATAGCTCTCGTAGCTGGAAGAATTCTGTCCATATCTGAACTTGTAGATATTTGAAAACATCTTTAATAATGAGACACAGGATTGCAAGTAGCATTTCTATTGGCTTTTTATCCATTTTAGCATCCAAGTCAGAAAAAAAACGTGGGACTTTATTCACAAAGTGATTTGCAAAGTAGCACAGTGTGTGTTCCAATAGTTCTACAAACAGTTGCTAAGGATTTCTTCATCTTCAAAATGGATACAATTGGAATTAGAATTCTTATATTATTTTGATACTTTAGAACATTTAATCAAGACTTTCCATTTTTAATCAAGTCTTCTGTTTAACTCCCCTGTTGCTCTGATGCATTAGCTTTGCTGCTTTTTTTTTCCCTTGCAAAGTTTTAAAATGTTTGAAAAAACATTTATCTGTGCAATAAACATAAAACTCCTTCGGCTTCATATGGTATTTGTTTCAATCTTCTTATCATGTTGCTCCTTAATTAATTTCCCCTTTGTAAGCTCTTCAAATTACAATGCCAAGAACTAGGTTGTAATGCTCTATCAAAGAAGCAAACCAGGTATTCTGGAATGCTTAGTTCACTGTCATTAAATCCATGCTGGCTGTTTGTAATCATTCTGTTTTCCTTAAGTATTTCAAATAAAAAACCCCATGTCAACCAGCTCCCTTGGTGCAGAAAAGAAAATTATTTTTCAGATGATCAGTTTCTTTAACATGTACACTCAATCTAGAAGCTTCCCCACCCGTCTGTATGTATCCCACAAACAAAATATTGTGAGAAGAGCCTAACTATGGGTTGAGTTTAGTTTAGTTGCTTCTATTTTGCCCATTGGAGCAAGATACTTTTTGTGCTTATCTACCATACTGCTTTTATGAAATATGCTGATTCTAAAATAAAAGCAGCATAACTTCATTCAGAAAGATCATGTTCTT